GGGGGGACAGAAGGACAGGGTGGGGAGGGACAAGGCAGGGGGACAGAGGGACAGAGTGGGGACAGAGGGACAGGGCGGGGACAGAGGGACAGAGCGGGGGGACAGAGGGACAGGGCGGGGGGACAGAGGGAAAGGGCGGGGGGACAGAGGGTCAGGGTGGGGAGGGACAGGGCAGGGGGACAGAGGGACAGGGTGGGGACAGAGGGGCAGGGCAGCGGGACAGGGATGGGGCGGGGGGACAGGGGGACAGGGTGGGAGGACAGAGGGACAAGGTGGGGAGGGACAGGGCGGGGGGACAGAGGGACAGGGCGGGGACAGAGGGGCAGGGCAGGAGGACAGCAGGACAGGGCGGGAGGACAGGGGGACAGGGAAGGGGGACGCGGGGACAGAGGGGCAGGGAGGGGACAGAGGGACAGTGCGGGTACAGAGGGGCAGGGCGGGGACAGAAGGACAGGGTGGGAGGACAGGGGGACAGGGTGGGGACAGAGGGACAGGGCAAGGTGACAGAGGGACAGGCCGGGGACAGAGGGACAGGGCAGGGACAGAGGGACAGGGCAGGGACAGAGGGACAGGCCGGGGACAGAGGGACAGGGCGGGGACAGAGGGACAGGGCAGGGACAGAGGGACAGGGCGGGGACAGAGGGACAGGGATGGAGGACAGAGGGACAGGGCGGGGACAGAGGGACAGGGCGGGAGGGCAGAGGGACAGGGAGGGAGGACAGAGGGGCAGGGCAGGGACAGAGGGGCCAGGAGGGGATAGAGGGACAGGGCAGGAGGACAGAGGGGCCGGGCAGGGACAGAGGGACAGGGCGGGGACAGAGGAGCGGGGCGGGGACAGAGGGCCAGGGTCTCCAGGGTGCTGACAAGGGCTGCTGAGGGCAGGTGCTGCCTCCACATCCCCGTGGGAGCCGAGCCCATTAGGATAAATGCTTTACCGTCAGGGGTAACTCCAGGATTCCCTGGGGCGGGTCTCCCTGTCCCTGTGAGTTCTCTCAGGGCAGTACAGGTTCCCAGGAGGGCCCTGTGGGTGGGGCCAGGGCTTGGTGGGGTTGTGGGGAGAGGAGGGGCGTTGGCCTGGACCGGTATCTGGGCAGGAAGGGGAGCCGGCTGGGCAGGGATGAGCACGGAGGGTGGCCGCGCCCTCTGCCAAGTTCCACCTCCACATTTCTGCTCCGTGTTTTCCACTCCCGGCCCAAGGTCTCCATGCTCCAGGGAGAAGGGGCAGCCAGGAGAGGCTGGGAGTCAGGGCTGAAGCCACAGCACAGCCAGATGGACTCAGGCGCCCCGAGAGTAAGGGGGTGGGGGAGGATTGGGTGTCATCACTGGCACCCTGATGGCTTGGGGGCCTGGTCTCCCTCTTCTGGAACTTGTCTGTGAAGCTAGTATGTTAAGGTGCGCCTTCCTGATTGTGGACGAGGGGGCAGAAAGTTTCTCCACTAAACACCTGCAGTGTGCCTGGCCTCCACATTTGCAGGGCTGGGGCCCCTCACCTCCCTGACACCCAGGCTCATCCCAGGGGCTGGTGAGGCCGAGTCAGTCCTTCATGCAGGGACCTGGGGCCAGGGAGGGACGGCTTTCACTGAAATCTCTGTGCAGCTGCTGAGGTCCACGGTGGCCACTTCCTGAGAGCTGCTCTCCACTCACCTGAAGGGCCACAGAGCCAGGAGGACTCAGGCCCCAGTGGGAATTCGAGCCTTGCTTATAGCTCGGGGGCATCTAGAGAGTTGGCAGCTCCCCCTTCATCTGAAGTTTGGGGAGGCGGCTGCACACCTCAGTGGTTACCCGCACCTCCAGGTGTCCAGGGATCTTCCCGGGACCCCAAGCCCAAGGCACAGAGCTTAGCCATGGCGTGGAGTGCAGTGGGACCTGGGAGGATGAGCAGCCGAGAACTGTGCGTCCTCCCAGGAGGACGGGCTTGAATGCCCCTGTGACGGGGAGCTCACTCCTCTGGAGGATTTCTGTTTCTTCCATGGTGGCTGTAACTATTTGAACATTTAAAAAATATATGGTTTCAAAAATATTTTTCCATTACTTCCATCCCTTGAGTGACCTGTGCACTTCCTCACAGGATACACAGAACACACTACAATATGGAGCATGGCTCTGGCTCCTGGGCCTCCAGAACCGTCTTCCAGGCGTCTATGCACATTTTTCTAAGAGCTTCCATAGACATAACTGGGCTCTGGTGACTCCTTGATCACAGGCTCCGGCCTGCATGGAGGAACAGCCGGAAGACAGTTGCCTGAACACCTCAATCCAGGGACACTGCCCCCCCAGCCTGAGGACAGCCGCCCACCCCTCAGCCCGGGGATAGCCGCCTACTCCCTCAGCCTGAGGACGGCTGCCCGTGCCCCTCAAGAACAGCTGCCCTCTCCTGCCTGCCACTGCCTGGGCTGATGCTCTCAGGCAGCCCCACGGTCTCTCCTCAGGGCTGGGTCAAGCTCGGCTCCACTTGCCTGGGACTCCAGGCTCCCTCCTCACCTCCAGTCTAGTAGGAGACAACCGTGTTCAAGGAGACAAAGTCTCCCAGGGCAGAGGGCTGGAGAACCAGAGCCGGAATGCTGTTTTGCCGTTTACTCTAAAGAGCAGCGGAGCTGGCGTGAGGAAACAGGCACATGCTCCCAGGACATTTGGAGAATCAGATTTGAAAAAAAAGATCTTCACTGGGGTGTGAGATCAAAACTCAGAAGCAAAAAATATAACCTAGGTTTAGCCTGGAAAAAAAGACTCAGTCCGAGGCCACGAATCACTCCTGGGGCATCTGTGAGCGTTCTGCACCAGAGCCCGGACCAGAGGGTGAGGAGGCTGCACCCCAGGGTCCCGGGCAGGAAGAGGAGTCCGGGCGCTGAGCTGGACGGGGGAATCCAATCTGCTGATTCGGAGGTGAGTGGGACAGGCACGCACGCGTGCAGGCCTCGGAGGGCGGCCCCTGAGCGCGGAGTAAGTGAGGCCAAAGACAAACGGAGGTGGACAGGCTCAGGTTTTCCACTCAGCCTGCTTTTGAAGCCTCTCTGGCACCTGTGCTGAGCTTTCAGGCATGGAGAAGGGGCTGGTTCCTCAGCACAGGCCTGGTGAAGGCTCAGAGGCTGGGAATACAGAAGCCTCTATTTGGGCCAGGGAGGTGTTTACAGACCAGGCTGGTTTTAGGAAAATGCTCCCATTCCTTAAGAACATTTGGAGCAGATGATCTCAGGGAGCAGCTGCTGGGCTGGGAACGGGCTGTGTGGTGGTTTTTAACAGCCAGGACAGACGACAGAAACAGGCAGGAAGAAGTCAGTACAGAGAAAGGGCAGGGGGCCCATCTCCATTTAACAGCCGGCGTCCTCAGAAGGCACAGCCTGTGGTGGCCAGCGCCTGGCTGCGTGGCTCCGTGGCGTCCTCAGAAGGCACAGCCTGGGGTGGG